AAACCAGGATTGAGAATCATCTGACTAAAAGGTACTAAGCATGAATGCACAGCTCCTAATGATGTTGCTGGTGGATATATAAAACCCCAATGTGATCAGACCTCAAAGTGAACAAAGGCATGTCAGGCAACAAAAGCCAGGAGTTTCAACAGCCGTCATCTTCATCCGACCTGGAAAGTTTTCATCAGTTGCCGTTAATTAACCTCCAGTGAGTATGATTATTCTGTGCCATGATTTTCATTTGAAATCTCTAAGGCGGTCGTGACCTGGCATAAAGCAGGGCCCAAAATAGAAACCCTAGACCTTTGTGACTGACACCTATGAACTTTTCTGTCTTCTCCAGAGAGGCCTCAGCATGTTCTTCCATTTCAACGTTAGCCATTTGAATATCTGGCAGACAATCCACCCCTGCTTAGTATTAACTGCTGTGGTGGAGAGTAGAAAATAGAGAGCAAGGCTTGCTTAATAGACTCTTCATGTCAGTGGGCTCTCTTTAGGACCTGTATTTGTTCAAATGTTTAATTCAGCTGACTGGCGGCAGTTGAACATGTCGGAGCATGATTTTAATATTTTTGCTGCTGTAGTCTTTGTGTAGACTTTGTGATTGTCAATGGAAAGCAGTGCCTTAAAGGGATAGTTCACCCCAAAATTCTGTCATTATTTATTCACCCTCACATTGTTCCAAACCTGCACAACTTACATTCTTCTGTGAAACACAAAAGGAGAGATCTGTTGTTACAATGAATGAAACTGAAGTTGTTATATAAATGTTAAAGTTGTTTTATATATATATATATTTTATTTTTTTTCACCAGACTCCATTAGTCAAGCTGATCTAAGAGAGATCGGCACCATAAAAAAGCCACAGGGAACTGAAGTTAAGTCTGCTTTTGGCTGGTATTCTGGCCCAGGCAGTGTGCTAGTTTACCCTCTGTCAGAGAAGACACCACACAGAGACAAATGCCAACCCCGTCACCTACCTTTATTGTCATTTCGGTCACAAAGATGGCAGTAAATATGTAGTTGGACAACGTCAGGAAGATGCGTTCCTGCGGAGAAAACCAGAGAAGCAGGGAAAAGTGATGGGTGAGTCAGTGCTGGATCAGAGAAGATTTGTGTGTGTGTGTGTGTGTGTGGCATAACACATTAGAGGTGCCTCCTGTGAAGGCATCTATTGGACTAAGAATCCGCCCACGCTTTGAGTACTCCACGGGCATTAACATCACTTACTCACACGCACACCGCATGCGATAAATTTCATCCAGCATTCTCACTGGATACTACTAGATAACACAGTGGGTAACAAATGGATAAGTAACAGCTTCATGACAGTAACCATCTCTGAAGTCCAAATAAGTAAATCAAATCTGAAGAATCATCATTAAAGATAAAAGTGTCGGTTAAAAGGTCTTTAAAAAATAAAAGATAAAAGCAATTTAAAATAAATCCTTAAAGAAATCATATCATAAATCATGTTTTTCTTCCCTGGGGCCCATTTATATCGTTAGTCGAAAGTATTTTGTGGCAAAACACCCATTATTTATGTTTTTTTTTCTAACCCTGAGAATGTAACCTTTTTTGTGCCTTTAAGAATTAGTATTTCTATTCTCTTTTTATTGCAGCGTTTTTCACTCAGCATTGCTTTAGAATACTATAATGTAACCTCTGGAAATAAACTTTTTACTGTCCCGACATACATTTTAAATAAGGCCAAATAAATTTTAATTTGATGGTTGTTTGTTCATGAGATTACATCCGTAAACATAAGACTGTTACAAAACACTATCATCCTAAAATGACACAGCAAACACGAAGACTTCCTGCTCCTCTCGCCCTCCGTCCGGGCCACACAGCCTTCCCACACAGCAGGTGCTGTCCTCTCCACCTCTCTGCTCTGACCTGAGCCAGGACTGTTTGTTCCTCATTCTATAACAGACTGTAACACTGTCAACAGACTCCATCCTAAAATTCTCTCATACTAAAATGACTAAAATCTAGAGACTTCCAGTGTAAGGAATGACTCGCCTGACCCCAACGCCACAGGTGGATTAATATGCTGATATACAGAAAGAGCCATTAGAGCTGAAATAGTTCCTTTAAACAGCTAGGTATATTTTTGTTCATCTATTCCTCTGAAAATATACAATGTGTATGAATTGGGAAATGTCAATTTTCAAGAGCAAGTATGCTAATTCTATGTATTTCTGAATCAACAGACCAAGAATTGAAAATACATTTCAAATTGATGTAAAGAATGAAGTTTGGGGTCTTTATTATTTATTTTTGGAAAGAATTAATACTTTTATTCAAATATGATGCTTTAAATTGATAAAAAGTGACAGTAAAGACAATGTATTTCAAATAAATGCTGTTCTTTTGAACTCGTCAAAGACTCCTCAAAAATATTAAGTAGAACAAATGTTTTCAGCATTGATAATGAGAAGAAATTCAGCACCAAATCAGCATATTAGAATGATTTGTGAAGGATCATGTGACCGTGAAGACAGGTGCAAAGGTTGCTGAAAATTCAGCTTTGGGAATAAATTACATTTTAAAATATATTAAATTAGAAAACATTTCACATTCAACAACTTTCAACAACTACTTTAAAAAATCTTAACAACCCCAAATATTAATCTAGAAAATGTAATGACTCAAGCTGCATAACAAGTTTATATAAAAACAAGAAATCAAAAAAGGACTCTTTGAAAAATAAATACTGATAATCAAATCTTCTCAGACATCAGAATCAGCATCAAAATAATCTAATCCTGCATCCTAAATAGCAATGCAGAGAGTATAACAATATAAAACCAAACCAAACTGAATCAAAACAGACCACGCTGCAATGCAAACCAAGCAGTCTGCAATTTGAACCTTTATGCCTTCTAGTGTTTAAACCTTGGTCTTGGTCCCATTCTCCCACTTTCTCCCTCCACTTTCCTGTCTACACTGCAGCGTCCTAAACAATACAAAACAAAAAGATACCATTAAATAAATACGATGCAGTTTGCATTAGGGGTGACAGAAAATATGAATATCTATTCTGTAGTCTATGCCGCATGCTCTGTCTATGTCAGGCATGCATGGATCGTGAAAGCCTAATGGATAACAATGTAGGCTGCTTACACAAGGTTATTAGTTTGGTCTCAGTAAGGGGTAACCCAGCTTCTAAGATCCCACCATGGTTCCGCTGAGTGAGGCATCGATTGCTGAATTACTTCATCTATAACTGGACATTATTACCGAGATTCGTGATTGTTTTGGCTTTTTATGGGAAAGTAGAAGCCGAATAAGAATCCATACACAAACCAGCCCTCAGCTCTGCCACAAGCCATTTCGTTTAAGTCAACAGGTATTGAGGATTCATTCAACTTGGCAAATAAACCTTGGTGTTTAAGGATTCTGGGTGCAATGGGATGAGAAGCTGATTTGTACTTTAAACAAGTGGTGTGGAAGCAAAATAAGCAGCGGAGATCTCCTCCTTCAACATGGACTCTCTAGATTGTTTGTCCTTCTCCTACTGTGTCTGAGCAGCAGGGCCCAGGGGCCTTCTTTCCCATGACCCCCTGCTAATGCATGTTTCAGTGGGTCGTGGCATCATGTTCTAAAACTCCTGTTCTCTCTGAGAAAGCCTCCTGCTGACATCATCATTGCGGTTTGTATTGTTTCTGAAAACAGACTGACGTCTTTGCCATTCCATTCTGCTCGGAGGCTTGCTTTCATTCATTGTTGAGTGAACCGTGTGTGTATGTGCAGGTCAGAATTCATGAATGAGGAAGAGCATGTCTAAGAAGCACAGTGTTTGGTTTCCGAAGGAGAAGGGTCAGACAACCCCTGTCCTTCACTCTCATTCTTTTAAAGGTTACTAAATGTCTGAGGAAGCACACACACACACACACACACACACACACACACACACAGGTTTGTTTTTATGGTTTATGGGGACTCTCCATAGGCGTAATGGTTTTTATACTGTACAAACCGTATTTTCTATTGCCCTACACCAACCCTACCCCTAAACCTACCCCTCACAGGAAACTTTCTGCATTTTTAGATGTTCAAAAAAACTCATTCTGAGTTATTTATAAGCCTTTTGAATTACGGGGACACTGAACATGTCCTCATAAATCACCTTCTCGTTGTAATACCTATGTCATACCCATGTTATTATACAAATTTGTGTCCTCATAAACCACATAAACATGCACACACACACACACACACACACACACATAACAGTACAATCTAGCTTGGCAGAGAAAACAGAGACAAATCAAATACTAACAAAAAAAAGATGTACATGTTTGAATTAATATGATTGTGTGTATGAAAAATTCACTGTAGAAAACTGAAGTTACAACTAACATAAACTTAAAGTAAAATTCTACAAACAATGACACACCCCTGGTTGCTAAAGTCCATTTGGTTAAAAACTGCTTAAAACAGACAATGTCATTCAAAAAGATTTTTAAAAAGTGCACTTTACATGCCAGAAAATTTTGTTTTATATTAGATAGATAGATAGATAGATAGATAGATAGATAGATAGAACATTGCTGCTGTGTAAAACTGTAAAACAGCTCTTTCTGAGTCTGTCCATCGGTTAAAAAAAATTATCAAAATGATTCATTAGCAAATGAATGTGAATCAAAAGCAATCCACTTCTGAATTTAAATGCATTTGTCATTCTCAAATCTCAAATGTTCAATGTGTACGAGACCAGAGATAGAAAGAGAGGGAGAGAGTAATCAAAAGCTGCTAAAACTCCCCTTGGTATTTTCATCACCCGTTTCCCATTACTTTGGGTACTGAGATGACATGCTCAGGCCTTGTCTTCAGAGGGGGACTCAGGTGGGGAGTCTGATAGCATTTGTTCATACCCAAATGAAAAAATGTCTCCATATGAAATATTGATGGCACACATCTGAGCTCAGTGAGGTACCTGTTACTATAGATCATGTCTGTCATGGAAATGAGATGGTTTGCATAAGCTGAACACAAAGGTTCTATTACAGACAAAGTTACACAATTCTGCAGTGACAGTGGGACCAAACTGACTTTACCTGGTCCAAAGATTCTGCAATTACTCATAAATGCCATATCATACTGTGGATTCATATTGAAATGTGCACATTCCTTAGCAAACATGTCACAGGTCATTACCAGAAAACATTTAGAAATTTTACTTACATTCACAAATGACAAAACATGCAATGCGGAAAAGTCATCTATTGGTATTCGTTTTTTGTTTCTTAATTTTCAGGGATTTTTTTCATATTTAAATGCAAATTGAAATTTAAATAAACTTTGTATTTTACTCGTTAAAAAAATCCACTGTTTGTCTTTGTACCATCTTTCATTAACCATAATAATCTTACTATGCATTTACACCAATGAAAATACATAATTTACTTTCTTAAATGGCAAAAGCACTGTGTGCCATCTGCCCCACTCTGAAAAAAATTCACATGCCTGTGCAGGGAAGGAAAATACGTGGAGTTTTTCCTCCTCTGTGAAGTGCAGAAAGGATGTCTTAAGGGGGAAGTAAACAAATATCATAGAGGCTCATAGGCACACATGGTAAAAACCGGATTAAATGGATTAAACCTTCGGAAAATAACAAAACGGGAAACAACCTTTCCGTGCTACATAATGTGTTTCAAAAAACCATTACACGTAAGTAAGCTTTAAGGTCCTCTATTTCCATTACTGACAGAATCCTTCATCAGTTTGGGTGGGGGGAGGCTTTTATTCATTCCTTTTCCCCCTTTTTTGTTCCAAATCAAGAATGTGTATAAATGTGAAAAAAACTAAATATAAATCTATTTTGTGAACAAGTCAATATAATTGGATTTAAATTTACAGGAATATATTAACTGGAGTCCTCCAGCTCTGATGGACACGAGGCCATCTGCACTGCAGATCTCTGCCATGTGGAGTGCTCTAGGGTCTTACAGTTACAGTTAGGGTCCATTACAGAGGCAGACACACAGCCATTGGATACAAGAAAATAATGCTAATGTATGCATCACTATATACGCTCAACATGCAATGAGTCTGATGCAAAAAAAAAAATGTTTTTTTCTGCTTACATTCAGATTACATAATGTTGTTATACAATACGAGGACCATTCACAATACTAGGAACTCCTGTGCAATTTTGTATAAAGCAGCTCAGTGTGAAAAATCACATAATGACATCTGACACTGATTGCTACAGAATGAGTGCTAAAGTGACTCTGGACATAAATTTGATATTAGATAATTAATTCATTATTGTTAGAAGGTCCAAAGTAGCTCTTGACTTGGGTTAACAGCAAATTCATAAAAAGCTTGAAAATGTCCTCATTTGTTACACGAGTGAGTGAAAAATCTTGGTGGGCAACATTTTATGAAAATATGTTCCTTGAAATGTCAGGAATCTGGTAGCTGCAAAAATGATGGACTGCTGTCTCCATACAAGAAGGTTTGCTGCAGTGCTGTTCTGCCAAGTCCAAAAAAAAAAAAAACAGTTGCTGAAAACAGCAACTTAAAATAGATGTTTTTTTTCCCCCCTGAAATTCTTTTACTCAAGTACAGTTTAAAAACAGTATATGAAGTGTAGCATTTTTGACTCTATAGTATTATTCTTATAACTATTATGATCTACATAAGAAAGGAAAGAAGATAAAACATGTCTTGCTTTCTTTTTTCTCTTCTGTCTTACATTAGGTGTCCTGAGGGAGCATGTAACTGCTGAAAGTAGTAAACATACAAAACTGATAATGAGATGTAGCAAAGCATTTAAGCCAAGATGATTGTGTCCTTTGGGTCTGTAAGAAAGCAGGAATAACAAATTGAATCTTTTCTGTTTTAACATCCTAAAAGAACAGCAAAATCAACCAACCAACTCCCAAGTCGTCTAATAATCTACTTTTTATTCTCAGTCGCTAACATAACAACCAGTTAGATAAGGTAATAATCACGGAAACGCTAGATTAACATACTAACTAACATAATGATTGTCCAGTTTTATAATCTGGAGATGACAGATATGCAGTTCAGAGCCCTGACACTGAGTGTCAGTAAGAGTTTTCATTTGTCACAAATTTGTTCAGCTTGCACATGCAGACCATCTCTGCTTCATGGGCAATCGGTTGTGGAAAATGTTTTGAGCCCATAACCTGAACTGTAAATTACATGTGACTTATCACTCTGAAACAAGGATGTCCTGATTAACTAAGGGCATCACAAGCAAGTACACAATTGTAAAACCTTCTCTAGTGACTGTGAGAGAGACAGACAGACAGACAGACCGACCACTGGTTGGCCTTAGATAACTGAATCAGGAATTAGCACACTGATGTACTGCAACGCTTGTCCTCAAAAAAATAAAAAATAAAAAATAAACACATAAATAAGAAATAAAAAAAGAAAGAAAGAAAGAAAGCTACATACCCTTGAGATCAAAGGACAAGATGGAGCATGGGAACTTATCAAGAAAATCAAACCTTGTAACTTTATTATTTTATTATTATTATTATTATTTTTTAATTGCCACATGATTGTTTTCAGAATTGTGTCTCAATTATCTGAGCTGTTATTCCTACAGCAAATGTTGTTTTGAATGACATATGCTTGCGTGTGTATGTGTATGAGGTAACATTACTCACAGCGCTGGAGGGGTCGATTCTGGGCCTCTCCATGGCGATAGTGATGCAGTTGAGAAAGATGATGACAAGAACCACATGGTCAAACATCTTGTGATTGATGATTTTATTGCAGGTTACACGAAACCTGCAAGACACCATTACACCAGACATGGTGGGCAAACATTCAACATCATGTTGATCATAAAATCAATTAAAAAGAAAGTTATAGGTCACAAAGTTCAACTAGTTGCTTAGTGAGACTACAGTAGCAGAGTTTTTCTTAATTGGACAGTGTCCCAAAAATGACAATTCTTTAATCATTTATTCACCCTTATTTCATTCGAACTCTGTATGACTGACTTTCTTCGAAAAACTGTGTTTGTAATAAACAAATCCATCAAGATGTTTCAAACCGTTGCTTAATGACGCGTGATGGATTTGCTTTTTACAAGCATGCAGCTTTTCTCTTAATGTTAATTGTTGGACTGCAGGATTATTTTGATGTTTTTATCAGCTGTTTGGACTCTCATTCTGACGGCACCCATTCACTGCAGAGGATCCATTGGTGAGCAAGTGACGTAATGCTAAATTTCTCCAAATCAGTAAATTCTCAGTTAATTTTCATTTTTGGGTGAACTATTCCTTTAAGTCTATTCTCTTGGTTTAATTCATCAAAGTTAAAAAAAAAAACCTTGGCAGTCCAATCATTTAACGTATTAAGTATGAGATGTTAACAATCAAGGCTGACATTACTTTGAGTTCATTCATCACTAAACAAATACACCTCCTTAATTTCTCTCTTTCACTTTAATTGAACTTGAAACAGTGACAAGCTTATGCATGAACATGTGTCGGCCATAAGACATACAGTGTGGCGGCATGACTCCTTTTATGAATAAATAGTGCTCAGTTCTCTTTAATGTCTCTGAGACTTGGCCTGATGTTAAAGAATTTATGCCCAGAACGGCACTGTGTGGGAACAGACGGCAAACTCTGCGCCGTTGTCATGCCAACCTGCCTCTCTCAGCCCCGATCACTCATGCTGAGAGTGTGGTCATGCCGGGGTGAAATGGGGAGAGAAGTCTAATGCTGTGTCCGATACTTAAGGCTGCTGCCATACTGCTACACTACCACTACACTACACTACACTGCCATTCACTACCCAGTTAGTCGATGACTTCACAGCTGTTACTGTTAAGTCAACTTTACACAAGGTTTCACAGGCTTCCAAAAGTACCATAATGTCATATCTAATGATCTAAAATGAATTGGAATGGTCTTTAGATATAATTATATATTTAAAGCAAATATTCATTGCTCATGCAATGCTTATTTCTGAGAAGATATGAATAAAAAAAAATGAATTGCAATGAGAGGAATAAATTACATTTTAAAATACACTTTCAGTCAAAAGTTTAGAATTAGTGATGCACCGATCATGATTTTTCATGGCCGATTCGAATACCGATTTTTTTACAATCAAACTGGCCGATTCCGATACTGATTTCCGATTTTTCTTTTTTCCTTTAAGCAACAAACAAGAAAGAATTAAAGTATACATAAGCAAGATGTTTATTTGGTATTTAACAGGCCATACTGGCTTTTATTGAAAACAATAACTGTAACCATCTGAAATTAACAGCGGTAACTGTTCAGTAAGCACATTCAATACAAACATAGATGGTACTGATATTTAGTTGTAGTTGTCGTTGTCTGATAGTGATGCACCGATCATGATTTTTCATGGCCGATTCGAATACCGATTTTTTTACAATCAAACTGGCCGATTCCGATACTGATTTCCGATTTTTCTTTTTTCCTTTAAGCAACAAACAAGAAAGAATTAAAGTATACATAAGCAAGATGTTTATTTGGTATTTAACAGGCCATACTGGCTTTTATTGAAAACAATAACTGTAACCATCTGAAATTAACAGCGGTAACTGTTCAGTAAGCACATTCAATACAAACATAGATGGTACTGATATTTAGCATCAGCATTTTGTTTTTAAATTGGATTGGTTGTTGGTTAAAGTAGTGCCAAAAGTAGCACAATGGCCATATCACAAATATCAAAACTCAAAATATGTCATTTCCATACCTAAAATAGCCCTACATATTTTACAGTGACTGTTATGCATATTGATCAAAAACTCGGACTTCCCTGCATCCAACATGAGCTGCAGGAGTCAGATTTCACTGATCACGGGTTGAGAGGAGAGACAAGACTGACCTGACAAGATCATGCTGGAAGATTTGCTGCTCGACAGATCCTGAGCTCATTGACAAATATCTGATCTTCCTTTAGAGCGTGCGCTCAATCGCGAAATCGAAAGTGAAACTGAACAGCAAGCGCTTATTCAAACATAAACACATTTCATTACACCAAATACACAAAATAATGTTCTTTTTTAGCAACGTCATATGACCCCTTTAAATACTCCGCATATTAGCCGGGTTTCCATCCAAAGTTGCGAATTTAACTTATGCGCAAAACTGGAATATCGCATAAAACATTTGCGAACAAGCACTGTTTCCATCCAACGAGTCAGAGAGAACAAAATCGTCACTTCCTGATAAACTGGCACTGAATATAATAATTCTCAAATATAATATATTGCTTGCATTTGAGTGAGCAGACGAAACACAATAAATGCGGTCTTGCTTTCGGAGGTGGATGCTGCTGTTTGGGAACGCAGTCGTGGTAGACTGTTCTGGGAGGCAGTTATACAGAAATACTTTGACGACAGACTTTGCTCGGGCACTTCAGAATGACCATAACAACATTTCAGATGCTGTGCAACAAAATCGGTCTGCTGTTTAGTCAGGTTAGGCTGTCCCATAGCGCAAAGTCACATGACTTTCTTGAACGCTCATGTGGGATTTATTCGCAAAATGCATTTCCATCTCCCATTATTCGCATTAACCCTTTTTCGCACAAGTGAAAAACCACCTCGAGCGAGCGTAAAAACTTTTTTGCGAATTAAGGGATTTCTTTTCGAAATTTGGCGTTTCCATCACTCGTTTCTCATGCGATACTTCAAAATTAAAACAGGGTGATGGAAACATAGCTATTGATAGCAGCTCCTTGATGCGCGAAAATTATATGCCATATATGTTTGCGGGAGCGGGCGGGACTGGACACAAAAATCTCTAGCGGGCGGTAATGGTCAGAAACATGGGCGTCGCTAGACTCCATTTACTGGTGCACGTGCCCCAGTAAAAATCTGCTGTGCCCCAGTAAAATCTCAAATTTGAGTTATAATTTACTTTATTTGTCAGTGTATTAATTTAGATTGACAATCCCGGAATAAAGAAATTAATCTTTATGCAACAACCGAATCAACACTTGTAAAAGCAACGCAGTTTAACCGAAAACAAACTGATGCATGAGCGCAGAAATCCATGCTCGCTTGTGTTTGTGTGTTTAATTGCAATTCGCAGCCTTTCACGCAGAAGTGTTGGCATGCAGTTGAGGTGGGCTATGAAAAAATGACGAAACCAGTGCTCGAACTGGGCTGGTACGCACCTGTACGCCGTAGCACTTTTATACTTTAACCCTTAGCGTGCCGTGAATTTTTCTGATGTTCCAGGCCGGCACTTCTCACATGCTGCCCTGTGCCCTCCCAATTTCCACCGAGGGGGATCCCCCCCAGCCCCAGAACGCGATTTCCCTTGCACATCGGGAGTACCGGCATTTTTGTATTTCCACTTCAAGCACTGGACGAAACTAAAGTTTGTTTCTAAATAATATAATGATCTTATTTTGACAAAAACATTATTGGTTCCTGTAGATGGACACCAGAAATTTTTTAATTTGGACTTGGCTGAGGAACTGGGAATTACTCTTTCTAATCTAATCATCTTTTTTTCTTTCATTCTTTTTTTAAATACAAATGCTCTTTATTATAGTTGTTGTCATAAAATGACTGGTTTCTTGAAATGTTGTAATTATAAATTCTTGAAAAAAGATTAAATTATTCATTATTATTACTGTGTAATGTAGAAGAATGCAAATGTACAAGAAAAGAATGTTCTCTCCAGTTTTATTTCCATATAGGCCTACATTGATTGCCTTAAAACATGTTCTTTTAGAGTTTAAAAGAACCATTTTCAATTTAAATATATTTTAAAGCTACTGTATATAAATATATATACACGCATATACTGTATATATATATATATGAAATTCAAAGTGCTTTACATAAAAGAAAAGAAAAAAATAATCACAACAATAAAACAAGGAATTTAAAAACTTTGAAAATGATTAAAAAAATAGATTTAAGAGGTTTAAAATGATTTTAACAAAACGATTATACATAGAATATAGTGCAATCAGTTCGGACATCGCACAGTGCTCATTCAATAAATGCACAGCTAAACAGATGAGTTTTGAGCCTAGATTTAAATGTGACTAATGTTTTAGCACACCTAATCTCTTCTAGAAGCTGATTCCAACTGCGGGCGGCAAAATAGCTAAAAGCGGATTCACCTTGTTTTGTGTGAACCCTTGGTATTTCTAACTGACTCGATCCTAATGATCTGAGTGGTCTGTTAGGTTTATATTCAGTGAACATATCTGCTATGTATTTAGGTCCTAGGCCATTGAGTGATTTATAAACGAGTAAAAGTACTTTAAAATCAATC